TACTAGCAGTCAGATGAGTTCGAGTTAGTCAAACGAAGCATGAGTAATTCCGGACAGGATTTTCAAAGATTGACGTATAGTTGCACTTTGATTAGCAATACCGAGAGCATGACGACTGTTCTTCTGATATCGCTTTTGAAATATGTGTCTATTTTGAGGTTGTTAGATGCCCATGCAATCTTCTTTTTTTATGAGAGAAGTATGCCACAGCACCCAGACTAGGTGAGTCAACAAACAGCAATGCTAGTTAGTTTCGCTACTCTTTCATTGCCATTTTTTGTTATTATAATTAATTTGCTGGCAAGGACATCTAAGAATGAGGAAAACACAGTTTCGAGGAGTACAGTTCATTTCAATTATTTCAGTAATTTTAGCTTCAAAATCTAAACTTGCTTTTGTCAGCAGGCAGCGTAATCTTTCAAAAAGGAAAATTTTCGAACAATTTTGAATTGACATCCGCTGATCCTGCTTATTTTCTTCTAAAAGCCATTTGTGTAAAGTGAACCGAGCAAAAACTTCCCCTTCTCCCTATTTCCCTTTCGGCCACGAAGCGAAAACGTTTGGGCATCATGATTTGTTACACAGTGAGTTAAGGCTCTGAAACTTTTACTTGAGATAAAACCCACAAAGCAGCTTCAGCTTTAAGGGAAAAATTAGTGGTATGAGTTTCCAATGGATAAGTTGTGTTATGGAATAGGTTATTCCCGTGAAGAACAAACAGCAAAACTGTTTATTCCACTCCAAATCACAGCACATATTACAAGAGTTAATAGGTTGAATGCACACCGGTCAAAAACCCAGAGCCGAGCTGCATTTGCGCCAAATGTTCTCCTTTTGTCCAGTACAGCAAAGAGCAAATGCACGACAGCTTCGTTTTTTAAAATTACGCCGGCTGATTGCATCCGGACTGGATCCGATAAAGAACAATAACAAAGAGCTGATGCCATAAAGTGAGCATTTGACAAAAATCCATCACGGCTCAAAAAGCCGTGCGCTGCAGATGTATGAGTGTTTGGACTAGATAATATTTTTGCCAAAAAAATTTGCCAGAAGTTCTGGATATGCAGGATCCATAATTTTTAAATGTTCAAAAACTATATGCTGCACGCGATTTTGAAAATTTAGGCCATGGCGAAATATGCAAAGTGTGAGTGTCATAAACACGACAAATAACGATGCACAAACTAAGGCTTCCCACACTGCTGCAAAATGAGGCTGAACTAGCGAAATTTGAGAGCTTTTTCCTAAATCGAAAAGCATTTCATAAAAGGCGTCGACTCGCGGCTTTGGCATCTGCGGATGCAGAAGTAGTATCGGTGGAGTGGCGCAGATTCATCGATGAGGCTGGAATGGATACGGGGACAGGAGCAAGCACAGGTGCAGGTGGTGGCGGCGGAGTAGCTCGAGAACTAGTCGGGAAATCATCCTTACTGCATTTATCCTGCTCGATCAACGTTGAGCCTCGATAGCAGAAGAATGCTTCGTCGAATGTTAACACCTGGGATGGCTTGCCGAGCACTTTTAGCGCATTTGTATACTGAAATATGCCACCACGTAAGCCGATTTGCACAACAGCGTAGACAGTCGATGTCGCATCTACTTTTGCATTACGAATCGGATCCCTGAAAAATCTAGTTAATTGTCAAAACCTGTCTTATTTGAAACTGATTCATTCCTTGGAAGTGAAACTGGTGCGATAACGCGGCGAAACCAGGAACTGGCAATTACAAAAAGTCGGCTCGGCTCGGCTCGTCTCATTCACAAGCCGCAAAAAATTTGCTCTCGACGGCAGGTAGGGCTGTCCTACGGCGGATGGCGGCAGTTTGAATGTGGCAGGTGGAAGTGGGGGTGATATGTGGCGGGTTTCGTTCGAGGCAGGGGACGGGAGCTAGGATAAGTGGATGTAAGGAATAAATGGCGTAGATTCTTTGCTGATTAAGTAAAGTACATTTGAGAGGGGAGGGGAACGGTGAAGAACGGAAAGGGTGAGAAAGTGAGCTCCTGGAAGTGTGACTTCCCTTTTTATGAAACTAATGCTTAGATAAATTTGTTCCACAAAAAACCCGTCATCAGACTTTCCTATTTATGAAACTGATGCTTAGGTAAAGCTGAGAGCGAATAAATTCTATGAAGTGGGCAAAAACAGGGTAGAACGGATGCCTGGGAATGAAGTCATCCTTTGCTCCTGTAAGAATTTGAAGATAAAAAAACAAAGGGATAACTGTTGTGCACAGTTGCAGGCTGCAAGAGACAACACTTTGGAACTGTCTGCAATTCTTGCGTAATTGAACTTATTTGCCCTCAGCTTCACCTAGCACAAGTTTCAGTAAATCCTGTCAACTTCATCTCTCCCCATTATCCTGGCCTTAATGGCCCTCTCTAAGCTGTATCTAGGCAACTACCAACCAACACCCCTCAACCGCGTCCAACTCTCCTACCCATCACCCCCCCCCCCCCCCCCCCCCCCCCCCCC